TTCATTGATCCCCAGCGGGAGCTCCATTGCTGTTCCATTGCTGTTCACAGGATGTAGTTCTGATGGTGGCCACGAGGGGGCGACCCAAACATGCTGCTCTGCTTTTTCTATTTATTTTTGTGCCTGACCCAGGGCTTGAACTCAGGGCCTGGGCACTGTCCCTGCACTTTTTTTTTTTTACTCAAAGTTGGTGCTCTACCACTCGAACCACAGCTCTGCTTCTGGCTTTTTGGTGATTCATTGGAGATAAAGAATTCCACAGACTTTCCTGCCCTGGCTAGCTTCAAACCCTGATCCTCAGATCTCAGCCTCTTGAGTAGCTGGGGTGGCAGGCAGGGGAGGGTGCCCCAAGTCAGCCCTGTCCCCTGAGCCCGTGACAACAGTCCCCAACCCCAGCTTTCCTCTGTGTTTCAGACATGTCGTTCGACAACGCTCTCTTCTCCATCTCCACGGTGAGTAGCCTCCACCCCAGGCCCCTGTCACCTGATGCTGATCTGAACTGGGGTACAGTATGGTGGGTAGGGGCTACCTTCCAGGATGCGAATTGCTTGCTTTAGAGCTCAGGGAATCAGGGAAAAGCCCTGGAATCTGGGAACCAGGGGAAATTTCCTAGAAACCCGGGGTTTGGGACTGAACCCCAGAACTGGCTCTGAAAGTTCCAGGTGATTAAGAGAAGCCGCGTCGTCACTGGGCGCTGCTGTGACAGTGGGTTGTTTGGACATCCACGGCCCGCGCCTCCCAGAATGTGACACAGGACTTGCAGTAGCCTGGAGGCCATTTTGGGGGTTCCCCTTCATCGAGATCTGGGACAGTCTCATGCAGTCTGGTCCCCTCCTGGCCCTGAGATGAATTTTCTTTTCTTTCTTTTTTTTTTGTTGGTCGTGGGTCTTGAACTCTGGGCTTATGCGCTGTCCTTGTGTTCTTCAGCTCAAGGCAAGCGCTCTACCGCTTGAGCCACAGCTCCACTTCTGGTTTTCTAGTGGTTTATTGGAGATAAGAGTCTCACAGACTTTCCTGCCCGGGCTGGCTTTGAACCATGATCCTCAGATCTCAGCCTCCTGAGTAGCTAGGATCTGGCGCCCTGAACTCTATGAATCAGTCAGTGTCTCCCCATGAAGAGGGGTCCCCACTCAGTGGGGCAGGGGGGGAGCAGGCCTGGATTTCCCATACCAAGTGACTCATAGATTCCCCGGGGGACACACAACTGCTACACAAGTTTAATTTTACCCAAGTGGTGGACTGGAGCCAGGTGTTCACCTCTGCCCTCTGGTGGCCGCTGCAGGAAGTACACACTGTGTTGGGCTAGAGCCCCCACCTACCCTGGGGACCCATGTCCAGGTGACTGACACCCTCCTGCTGGTGGCTGGCAGGCGCCTCACAGCACACCAAGCACAGGGCAGTTCTGTCCTCCCTGTTGGCAGCAGAAGTGGCGGGAGACATCAAACAGCTTCAGATCCTGGTGATGGGAATGGAGGACTGGTTTTTTGAATGGCTGAGCCAGTCAAGGCACGTGGGAATACTGGGAAAGGCATTTTTTAGAAATGCCCATGACCCACCACTCCCACTTCCCAAAAGCAGAGCGAGACCCCAGCCTGGAGTTCCTGGGAACAGCCAGGAGGGAGGGAAGAGGTTTTAATGCATGCCTGTTTACACACTCTGAAGCCTGAGCTCTGAGAATAAATCTGAGAAAGTGCTCATGTCCAAATCCCCTTTCTTTTTGAAGACTGTGTAATATTCCACTGCATCAAGGGACCAAATTTCGTTGACACCGGTGTGGATGGACAGCCAATGGGGCTACCTCCATCTTTTCTACCTTTTGGCTGATATGAATATAGATGTGCAAATATCTGAGTTTTTGCTTTCAATTTTAGTTTAGTTTTTTCTTCCCATCCTTTCTAGTGCTGGGAAATGAAGCCAGGTTCTCAGAAGGCTGAGCAAGCACTCTTTCATTGTGTAACACTCTGGTCTCTGCTTTTATTTTCTTTTCCCCTTTTGGTGTGTGTATGTGTGTGTGCTGATACTAAGGCTTGAACTCAAGGCCTGGGCACTGTCCCTGAGCTTTTGTGCTCAAGGCTGGTGCTCTACCACATGAACCACAGCTCCACTTCTGGCTTTCTTTTTTGGTGCTTAACTGGAGATGAAGATCTCATGAGCTTTTCTGCCCAGGCTGGCTTGGAACTGCGATCCTCAGATCCCAGCCTTCCTGAGTCGCTAGGATGACAGGTGTGAGCCACCAGTGCCTGGCTTTTGAGTTTCTTTTTGAACCTTTACAAATCCACTTCTAGCTTTTACTTTCTGCTAGGCAAAAGTTGCTAGGCAACTTTCCACTACTTTGGGTGTAGAGTTACCTCGTTTTATAAAGGGGAATTGTTGAGTCTGGATCTAGGCTCTATGCAGTGGGGTCACCCAATGAAAGAGGAAGGCCACTCTGAGTGAACCCCAGAAGTTCTAGCATTTGGCCTGAAGGAGAGACAGCCAGTGACATACCCGTCATTTCTATATTGCTTCAAGCCTCATAATGACCCTAGTAGGGTTGTCTAGGGTTTGGTGGAACCCCGGGGACTCCTGGGGGCCCTGGGATGTCTGAGGTTCAAGTGACAGATGCCCAGGGGTAGTAGTAGCATTCTCTTCAATTTCCTGAAGGGGAAACGGAGCCAGGTGCTCAGTTTGGCTCCCGCCTGTCGTCCTAGCTACTCAGGAAGCTGAGATCTGAGGATCATGGTTCAAAGCCAGCCAGGACAGGAAAGTCCATGAGACTCATATCTCCAACAAACTACCAAAAAAGCTGGAGGTGGAGCTGTGGCTCACGTGGTGGAGTGCCAGCCTTGAACCCAAAAGAACAAGGACAGGGTCCGGCATGCAAGCCCCCAGACTGACAAACAAAAAGGGAAACAGACATTCAACCAACCTCAAACTGCTCAGAAGAGATGTTCCTGGAATTTTAAACCCGGTCTTCTGTTTCCCCCAGCTCAGCAGGCAGGGAGGGGGAGGAGAAACCTCACACTCAGGATGGAGTGGTGCGATGACAGTCCAACAGACTGGAAATGTGGGGAGACCCTAGCTTCTGATACCCCAAATCACCCGATTCTTTCTTTTCTTCCATGGATGAAGAAAATGACCTCAGAAGATCCAGGAGCCATCTTGGATGCTCACCCTGACAACTCTGGACCCCGAAAGAGACCTACCTCTACATCCTCCTCACCGGAACCCCCCGAATTCAGCACTTTCCGGGTGTGCCCGTGAGAATGGGGGAGGGGCAGCTCTTTTCTTCCAGTTGCCCAGGCCAGCCTTCTGGAGCTGGACTTGGGGGGACAAGGGGTCTGCAGCTGCTGCTTACTCAGGAAATTGAACGGGAGATATGAAAGGAGTCCCCTAGTCTCAGGACCTTCCTCAAAGATCGCAGAGAGGAAGCCCCCTAGGCTTGGAGGGTTGGAGGGTGGCAGAAAGCAAGGCCCCCTGGAATCACATCATGATGCTTCTGCCTCTCCAGCCCTCAGTTTCTCCATTCCTACTTGCAGTTGGTCAGGTGATGTGACTCTTCGGGACTGGGTTTTGTGGGCGTTCCGTGTGTCCACCCCGCCAGCATCTCTAAGTTATTAATTACATCACGTGACACAGTGTCCCCCAAGGCCTCTGTGGGGTGTGATTTTCAAGCTTTGGCCGTCTGGGGTCCAACTGACAGACCTCGTCCCCTCATAGGAGGTGCCCATCCCCGGGGACGGGGCTGGGTGGGCGTAGGAAGCCTTTGAGGGTACAGAGAAGGGAGGCGATGCTACTCAGGGGTCTTTCTGCATGGTGGGGGACCGAAGTTAGAATGACGAGGGGGTGGGGATGGAGGAAAATGTTGGGGGTCACATGAGGGGGTTCAGGTAAAGGGAAGAGCTATAGAAAATGGGAACTGGGTACGAACCCCATGCGGCCCCCGAAAGCGATGGGCTGGGAAATAGCCGAGGGGGTCGCGGCAATTGTTGGAATCAGCCCCATGGGAAGCAGAGAGGGGAGCAAGTGGGGGGGACCCCGGATAGCCTTGGAAGAATGACCCGGGACAAGTAGAACGCAAAGGCACACGCCCAAGGGGCGGGGCCGCGGCTGGGCGTGTCCCCGGCCTCTGGCCACGCCCCCTAGGATCAGCCTCCCAATCCCCTCCCGCAAGGCCTGTACCAATACGAAGGCAGCAGGGCTGGCGTGGGGGCGGGGCCTTACCGTCCACTGGCCACGCCCCCAGCAGGCTGCTTCACAAAGCCGGGCGGGGCCAAGGGGCGGAGCCTAGCCTCGGGCGTGTCCGGCGAGCGGGGCTGCCCACAGCCTGGGATACGTCTCGGGCAGGGAAGCCGCTTGACAAAGCGCGGCCCCCTCTGCGCTGGGCGGAGCTTAGGGAGGGGAGGATGGCGTCCGCGAGCCGCACGCTAGGCCTCAGCCCTTCCGGAACCCCCGCTCTGTTTTCTCAAGCGTGGCCATTCGCGCGACGCCGGCATGGGGGCGGAGTCCAGACTTGGAGGGTGTGTCCTCTAACCAAGTCCCGCCCCGTGACGCAGGCGGCGCCTAGCCCACTCGGAGCAACCTCCCGGTCTCACCCAGCGCGGGCGTTCGCGCTCGGCGTCCGGGTGGGGGCGGGGCCCAGGACCCCCCCAGGAGGCGTGGCGCGCGGCCTTAGCAACGCCCCCTGACGCACGCTCCACCCCCGACGTCCCAGCGCCGCGGAGCCACCTCACAAAGCGGCGACCTTTCGCGCCGGCCCCGCCCCCTGGGCGCCCTCTCTCTCTCCCGGCGCCCAAGTCCGCCAGCAGGGGCCGCTGCGCCACCGGGCCGAGCCGCGCCGGCGGCGGCGGGGCGTCGCGTGGCCGGCAGGTGGCGCTGCCCGGCTCGGCCTCGGCCTCGGCCTGCGCGGCGGCGGCGGCGGCGGCGGCGGCGGCGGCGGCGGCGGCCTGGGCCCGGGCGCGGCGGCGGCGGCGGCGGCGGCGGCGGCGGCGGCAGCGGTGGGGCCTGGAGCCGGATCTAAGATGGCAGCGGCGGCGGCGGCGGTGGGGCCGGGTGCGAGCGGCGCGGGGACAGCGGTCCCGGGCGGCGCGGGGCCCTGCGCGACCGTGTCGGTGTTCCCCGGCACCCGCCTCCTCACCATCGGCGACGCGAACGGCGAGATCCAGCGGCACGCGGAGCAGCAGGCGCTGCGCCTCGAGGTGCGCGCCGGCCCGGACGCGGCGGGCATCGCCCTCTACAGCCGTGAGTGCGGGGGGGGGCGCCGGGGCCGGGGGCCCAGGCCGCGCGGGGTGCGGGGGCCGCGCACGCGGCGGGCCGGCGGGGGGGCGCGCCCGGCGCGGGGGTCCGGGAGGGTGGGAGAGGGGGTGCGGGGGGCGCCGCGGCGACGGGAGGGGGGGCCGGGCGCCCCGGCGTGCGGGGACCCAACGAGCAGAGGAGGATCGGGGCGCCCCGGAGCCGGAGGACGGGGAGGAGGACGGGGAGGGAAGCGGGAAAAAAAAAATGTGTGAGATTTCCGAGGGGGGGGCGCCGGGCTGGACGTGGGGGGGTCGCGAGTGGAAGGGGAATTCCGAGGGGTCGGTTGGGGGCTGGGGATCGGGTGTGGCCGTGGTGGCGGGGAGGAGGGTGTGGTGTGTGCGGGGCGGCGGGCCATCTCGGAAGGGGGGACCCCCTCCTCCCGCACCCCTCCGCGGACTTTCTGTAAGGACTGTTGGAAAGTGGCTTCCAGTGTGTGTGTGGGGGGGGGGGTCCCGGCGAGGAAGGCTGGGCCTGCGGGACCCCCTCTGCCCCCCCCCCGCCCCGGTCGAGGAGCCTCTGAAGCTGGGGGCGCTGCCCCGGCCGGGCCTCCCGAGGGCCCCCCGGGGTGGAAACGTGGAGGGGAGGGCGGCCTCGCCACGCGCCGCCGCCTCCGGCCCTCTCTCGGGGTGTGGGGTGGGAAACGTGAAAAAGGCGGTGACATTCTCCCAAGCTGCTTTCTGAAGTGACATTTGGGGGCGATCGCACGTGGGCCTGGCCCCAGCCGCCCCTCCCCACCGTCTTTGTGGGGTGTTTGGTCCAATCCCCCCCCCTTTTTCCCTTTCCTCCGGTGGCTCTCTCCTGCGGTTCGTCCTTCCCATTTTGCTATTCTGTTTCATTCGGCTTTTGTCTCCCGGGATTGCTCTGGGGAGGCCTTTGAACTGGCTTCGGTCCCCCCACCCCACCCCGGGGGGGGAATTTGGAGGGGGGTTACTTTTTGGGGGGAACCGGGAGTTCCGAAGGGAAGTGAGGTGTGTTGAGGTCACACGGGGCTCTGGGCTCCCTTCCTCCTGAGTCTGAAGACACTCGCCGGGGAGTGGGGAGTGGGTCCGGCGGTGCGTGTGCGGAGAAGCTCCTCCTGGCTCGGGACCCACACCTAACTACGCTCAGCAGGACCCCAGATTGTTTCTAGGGAGCCCAATCCTCTGGCCAGCCATCAGGGGCATCCGATGAAGGTTTAGTTTCTCCAGCTGGGGCTTCTAGAGCTTGCTGGGGGGGGGGGGGGGGGAGACTCCTGCGAAGCAGGCCTGGTAGCGCACCTCTGTAGTCCCAGCACTCTGAGGCAGGAGGATTATGGAGGTAAAAAGGCCAGCTTGGGCTCCATAGAGACCCTGTCCAGAAAACAAAGTTCTGGGAGAGTTGATCTGCCTGTTTAAACTTTCTTTCTCTTTCTTTTCTTTTCTCTTTGTGCTGGTCCTGGGGTGTGAACTCAGGGCCTGGGCGCTGTCCCTGAACTTTTGTGCTCAAGGCTGGCGCTCTACCACTTGAGCCACAGCTTCACTTCTGGTTTTTTGTTTTTTTGTTTTGGTAGTTAATTGGAGACTAGAGTCTGGTGAATTTTCTTGTCCAGGCCAGCTTCAAACCCAGATGATCAGATCTCAGCCTCCTGAGTAGCTATGCTTACAGGTGTGAGCCACCAGGGTCTGGCTTCCTGTTTAAACATTGTTTAAAAAAAAAAAAAAGAAAGAAAGAAAAGAAACATAGATCATTTTCAGTTTATGGACTTTGGAACACAGTGTAGCATTCTCTAATGCCCCATTCCCATTCCCGATTTCCTTTATTCTTACCATTGCTGTTCCAGGAAAGGTTTAATGTTTTGTGACTTTTTATTTATTTTTTTTGGTCAGTGGTCAGGGCTCTGTCCCTGAGCTTTTTTGCTCAAGGCTAGCACTCTACCACTTGGAGCCACTGTACCACTTCCTGTTTCCTGGTTGTTAATTGGAGATGAGTCTCATGGGCTTTTTCCCCCAGCTGGCTTCAAACTATGATCCTCAGATCTCAGCCTCCTGAGTAGCTAGGATCAGGTGTGAGCCACTAGCGCCTGCCTGGTTTGTGATGTATTTTTTTATTTTTTTGTTTTTGTGGCTGGTGGTGTGGCTTGAACTCAGGGCCTGGACACTGTTCCTGAGCTTTTGAGCTCAAAGCTAGCACTCTACCGCTTTGAGCCACAACGCCACTCTTGTTTTTTGTTTTCTGATTTTTAATTGAAGAGTCTAATGAACCTTCCAATGGCCCCTCTAGCTTTGGCTATAGTGATCCTCAGATTTCAGCCTCCTGAATAGCTGGGATTACAGGTGCGAGCCACTCGTCCGTAGCGTGATTTTTCTTTTTTAATTCTAATTTACTTTTTTTTTTTTTTGTGCCAGTCCTGGGGCTTGAACTCAGGGCCTAGGTGCTATCCCTGAGATGTTTTTGCTCTGGGCTAGCATAGTACCCCTTGAGCCACAGTTCCACTTCCGGCTTTTCTTTTAGTATTCAATTGGAGATCTGTCTCTTCTGGAATTCAGAGCTGGCTTTGAACTTTGATCCTCAGATCACAATCTCCTAAATAGCTGGGATTATGGGCTTGGGCCTGTTTTGTGTTTTCCATTGCCCTGATAATGTGCGAGGTGGCTGGGGGCTTGGAGGGGTGTGTCCCTACGAGTCACACACCAGCCAGGAGGAACAAGGAATGGTGGAAATGTTACTCGTGTTCAGAGTTCCACGTGCTGATCCTCGGAGGCAGAATTCACCGCACACCCATCTGTGGGAGGAGAATGTCTGTGTTCTCAGCGTGGGGAAGAATTTCTTCCCTCTGTGGGGTAGAGCTCTGAGGCCCCCAGAGTTTGGCATATTAAGTTCTCAAGGCTGCTAGGAGTGGGCAGGGAAGGTGGCTTAGTGGTAAAGTGCTTGCCTAGCATGCATGAAGTCCTGGGTTCGATTCCTCAGCACCACATACACAGAAGAAGCCGGAAGTTGGCGCTGTGGCTCCAACTAGAGTGCTAGCCTTGAGCAAAAGAGGCTCTGGGAGAGTGCCCAAGCCCTGAGTTCAAGCCCCAGGACTGGCAAACAAAACATTGCCAGGAGTGTATTGTGTCCAATGTAGGCTGAGGGTGTGAAGTGAAGGGTGTTTGGTGTGTCTCCTTTACCTCTACACTCTTTTCTTTTTATTTCTTTAATTTTTCTTTTTGTTCTAGTTCTAGGGCTTGAACTCATGGCCTGGGCACTATCCCTTAAGCTTTGTTTGCTCTAGGTTGGTAGTCTTTCCTTTGAGCCATAGTTCCACTTCTGGGTTTTTCACTAGTTAATGGGAGATAAAAATGAGTCTCACGGACTTTCCGGCTTGGGTTGGCTTTGAACCACGATCCTCAGATCTTGGCCTCCTTAGCAGCTAGGATTACGGGCGTGAGCCACTGGCGCCCAGCAGGCTTTTCCGTTCTTCTTAAAATCCTGGACATTGGCTCTGGGACCTACTTTTATTGGATGCCAGCCAGGTGTCATCCTGAGATTCTTATTTTTGTTCTGGTCTTGGGGCTTGAACTACAGGCAGTGCGCGCTGTCCCTGAGCTTTTGTGCTCAAGGTTAGCGCTTTACTACTTGAGCCACAGCACCACTTCCGGCTTTTTCTCAGTAGTTTATTGGAGATAAGAGTCCCATGGACTTTCTTGCCTGGGCTGGCTTTGAACCATCATCTGCAGACGTGTCTCCTGAGTAGGATTATAGGCTGGAGTCTTAATTACCTCCACAAAGACTTCGTTTCCATTAAGGAGTGTGAGGGGCGTTGGGTTGGATTTCTCTTCTGTGGTTATGTCACACTGGGCTCATCTTACATCCTGCCACTGTTGTAGCTGTGGGGGTCTGTGTCTGGGTTTTCTTTTTTTTTTTCTTTTTTTGGTCAGTTGTGGGGCTTGAACTCTGGGCCTGGGCGCTGTCCCTCAGCTCTTCAGCTCAAGGAGAGCGCTCTACTGCTTGAGCCACAGCGCCACTTCCGGTTTTCCAGTGGTTTATTGGAAATAAGAGTCTCACGGACTTTCCTGCCTGGGCTGGCTTTGAACCACGATCCTCAGATCTCAGCCTCCTGAGAAGCTGGGATGACAGGCCTGAGCCACCGGCGCCCGGCTCTGTGTCTGGGTTTTCTTGTGGCCAGAACAGGTGGTGAAGCCTGGCTGTTGCGTCATCCATCCCCGTCCCGCCCCCCTGGTGTCTTTGATGGGTTGTGAGGCTTGAACTCAGGGCCTGGGCTCTGTCCCTGAACTCTTTGCTCAAGGCCAGCGCTCTACCCCTTGAGCCACAGCGCCACTTCCAGTTTTCTGGTGGTTCATTGGAGATCAGAGTCTCACAGATGTTCCTGCCTGGCCTGGCTTGGAACCATGATCCTCCTATCTCAGTCTCTGGAGTAACGAGGGTTACAGGCGGTGGCCTCGGAGTTGGCCACATCACACAAGTCTGAGACTGGAGGAGTTCAGGGGCGGGAGAGCGATGTGACGTGAGCTCTGGGGTGCAGAGCTCTCAGGGCTGGGGTGTGGATCGCACACAGCCGCTAGGGGAGGCCTGGCAGGGCCACTCTGACTTGGGGGTGCCATGGAACAGCTGGGTGGGCCCGGGGGCCGGGTGTAACGCAGGCTGCTCGGAGCTTCAGACCTGCTGTTGAGATGAGCTGCTTTCTCTCTCTCCCCACCTGGACCCCTTGGGCCCTGAATTCCCCGTCAGAGTTGGCCACGAGCCTGCGGTGTCCTGAGCCACCGGGCTCGGCTGGTGGGGACACAGGTGGGTGTCAGGGCAGGGAGCCAAAGGCTTCTGGGATTGAGGTAAGGGGTGCAGAAGCCTTGTTTTCTTCCCCAGTACTGTCCTGCCTCCTTGGGGTGCAGGAACACGTGGGCCAGGTGGATGGGGTGTGGCTCAGGGTGTCCCTTTGTATCCCACTAGGTTCTTAGGGAGATCTGGGGTACCACTGGTGTGGCCCAGCGAAG